ATATTTGTGGGCGGAAAATTCTCAACAATATAAAAATGATTTAAAACAGCTACATAAATGGCCAAACATTCTACTTTACATCTTAAAATAATAGTTTAAAGTCGCAAAATGTCTTAAGCTTCCCATCTCTCCAATCCAATTACTGTTTAAAAGCCAAGCGTCTTTTACAATTTTCTAATGGCATTTATGTCGCCGCTCTTAAAGCTTAAAAGCCTCACCAAGGACAACAAGAACAAGAGCAATCTATAATAAAAAACAAAAATGGAGAGCAAAAAATGAGAACAAGTTTCTAACCCAATTTGCTGTCTTCTGGCTTCGCAGCGCTATCAAATTCCTAAGCGCAACGTAGACTGCGAGGAGAGACGAGAGAGGAGGGAGCAGCAGCAGCAGGAGCAGCAGGCGAAATTGTTCAGTCTGTGGCACGACCTTCACAATGAACTGCAGTAAATGAGACAACAGTAGAGAGGGAAAGATAAACAACGAAGACAGAGAGAGCGAGAGAGAAGAGCGAGGCTTATGAGCCAGAGATGTCGCCCAGAAGCTATTAAAATTATGCGCGTGCATTTTTGCAAGCCTTAGGGCAATAATTTGAGCATGGGGGCGTGGCAGAATATTTATGAACAGCCACGTTTCCTCTAGCTGCCGAGCTTCCGAGCTGTCATTAGCGAACAAAGTCCTCAGAGCTTCATTAGACCTTATCAATTTACCACATTGTTTGATTTCCATTATTTGTACCGATTTGTTTTTATTGTCGGGTAAATGTTTTCTTTTTCACTTCCATTTTTTTTTCTCTCGCCTAAATCGAAATGTCAGCAGGATATTTAGAGGCGTCATGGTCAGTCGGCCTGAATAATAGATGCACGTTCTCGTAAGCACACGTCATTTGGCCGTAAGCGTTGGCCAACAGAATGGCTTATCGGCTGTTTGTATTGATGTTGCCAAGGACATTAGGTTAAATTCTTTCAATTGAATCAAGATTGTAATTAAATAACATTTTGTTAATCTACGTCATTTCAATGGCCATTAAATATAAATGCATAATTGCTGGATGTAATTACATTTGATAAGCAATATTCATTTCTTCAATTAAATGGAATGAAAGTCGAACAAGTTTTTTACTTCTTGTTGTCGATTTTTCGGTATACTCTGGGCAAGCCATCAATTATGCAGCAGGTTCTTTGGCGAGAGGCGGAAATTCGGTTGGGTTCGGTTGGGTTCGGTCAGGGTTTTCAGTCAAAAACGCAACGAATAATTAAGTTAGCATAAAGTAATCAACATTTTGACATTTCACATTTCGTTGCATACTTTTTTGCTGCTCGAACATTTCATTAGCAAAAGCAAAACAGAAAATGGGAATGGAAATAACAATGGCAATGGGAATGGAAAAGCCAAATGGAAAGCGATTGGCTGACATCTACAAGCATTCGAAATTGCGTCCTTTTTACATTCCACTTACGTCTTATGCCCCAATCCATCATGTTGTTGCCTTTGCAGTTGTTGTTGTTGTTGTACTTGAATTATAAATGGCAGACGCTGTTGCTGCTTTTGTTGTTGTTGCTGTTCGATTGCAACAAGACGCCAAATGGGCAGCATTAGCACTAGGACGAGCCGGATATGGAAACCGGCTGCGACTAAGCAGCAGACGGAAACGTTTTCGACTACATAGCTTACAATAAGTAGGGAATAAAAACACTTTGCGATACACGAACAAATTGAATTGAACCGTTTCTAATTTTGACAATTTTATGTATGCCTCAAGGAGACGCCAGGACGCACGTAAAGATGGCAGCAACACGGCACAGCTACAACAACAACAAGAGTAGCAGCAACAACAACATAGGAACTGTTGCCGCCACTAGGGCGCTGCTCGCGCTGCCAACAGCGATGCCGAAACCCGAAAGCTATTTCAAATCTCGATTCCGCTTCTTAATTTTCCCGGGCTATGCTGCTGGCCCGAGCAGCGCTTACTTCATGACTGAAACCGAAAGCCCAAGCCGAAAAACTGAACCCAAGCACACAGACACAATACGCTGCTAACACGGACGCCGACGCCGACGCCGACGCCAACGCCAACGTCGACAGCGACAGCGAAGTGTGACTGTGACGGTGCCGAATGTGCATAGTGCAGATAACAGTGGGAGCTGTAAGCGGGTGGAGAGAATGTAAGCGCAAGAGCAAGCGAGCGAGCGAGCGAACAGGAGAGAGAGAGAGAGAAACACGACTAGGCAAACACCGATGCTTCGGCAGTCGGGCACTCGAATCGGGTGCCTCGACATTGACGAGGACGTTGACAACGGCAACAACAGCAACAACAAGTGGACTAAGAGGAGCGTCGTGTTCGAAAAAGTTCAAGTGACCACAGTGCTAAGACTGCCTTTATTGTTGTTATTTCTGTTGTTGTAGCTGTTATTATTGTTGTTGCTGGCGAACAGGTGGCAGCGTTCGCAATCGAAAATGTAGCCATAAAAAATAACATTATCCTAAAAGGCACTCGCCCGATACAACACAGTCATAATGAACGGAAGAAAGAGAGATAGCCAGCAAGGGAGCGTAGGACGAATTAGAGAATGGCAGAAGCGCCTAATTAAACATTTGCACAGTGGTTGAGCGCAAGGAGGCAACAGCAGAATCTAAACAAGTATTTCAGTACGGTAATTAAACGTTTAAAAAGCATTAAATAAAGCTGAATGTCTTTACCTCAACTAAGGATTACTTAAGCTTTGATTGCAACTTAAGAGCGCATTAAATTGCCACTCTGATCCCACTGTGCGCATCAAACAACAAAAAATAGGACGACGACCCAAATGAATGTAAAGATAAGAGAATAGAATCAGCTTAAGCGCTGCAACGACTTACATTAGCGCTCTCACTCCCACACATTATTGAAAGAATATTAAGAGAAACCAAGAGAGCTGAGCACCAAGAGAGAGCGCCGCTATAACAACAACAATGAGACAATAGCCAATGACATTGAAATACTGTTCAAATACCAAAAACAAATCGTTGAAGTAGGCAGATTATCAGACAGCCAGACAGAGAGGGAGGCAAAATGTTAAACGGTACATGGAATTTAGATACCAACATGATTATGAGTTATGCATTCGCAATTAGGATCAATTGCATTTATTCATGTATGCTTAGGACTACCTGTCTCAGTTGTAAACAGCTACAGTGAATACTCCACTAAAGGACAACGATTAAAATGTTTACCTTAAGTCCTTTAGGCAATTAAGCTCAAACTAATTTTTTACTTGCATGAAAAAGTGAAAAGAATAAACATCTTTAAGGAATTTGTGACGTTTAAGTGAAATTTATTAGACACATCCCAAGTGGGCTCTGCAATTAAGACAATATATCAAACAGAGACAGCTTCAGGGACGCAGGAACGGCCTGTGAGCCAGACAGGGACAGAACTCATAAAATATTTACACAAATGTGGTCGCATTTACATTTTACACCTTTGAATTGCACACGCCCCGCTCGCACAGCCGGAGTGAGAGCAGTGTAGGTAATGAGTGTTAGTGTATGAGCATGTGTGTGTGACAGTGTGAAAGAGAGGCAGTAGCAGCAATCATTGCCACTGGCGGCACATGTGATTGTCAAGTGGCTGCTCTGCCAGCCTCAAAACTCCTTAATTTTTGCTGTATGGGTGAGTCTGTGTGTGATTTTGTGTGTGTTTCTGTATGTGTGTGTGTGGCTGAGGCCAACATTTCCGGCCACAATTTTTTGTTGCTGCCCTTATTTAAATGTCAGTTATGTTTGTCGTTCTTATTATTGTTGTTGGTCGACATTGAATTCCCAGCGGCCTTATTGTGTAGAAAGTTTGTCATTTATGTAAATGTGTATGCGTGTGGGTATATATAATCGTATGCCTGAGCGCCTCTCCCTCTCTCTCTCACTCACTCTGTGTGTCTGTGTAAACAATTCTTTCGCCTACGTACGCATCATCGGATATTCCTTCAATGTTTACAGAGTTCCTGTGCATTACGTTCAAAAATTCGTTTTGTTGCATACTTTTGGAAAGTCACACTCTTCTTGACACACCCTAACGCTACAAACAGCTTGCAAAAAAATAGGCCTCAAGCAGCATTTTTGTAATTTAATAAATCACAAACATAAGTAATATCATTTAGTTTGTTGCTTTGCTTTTCCAATAGGTATTTAGTACAATATTTCATTATAGCTTTTGTAACAGTCGCAATCAAAATGTGTTTTGCCTGTATAAACTAAAAGCTTGTAGCATCGAGCTTGTGTCTTGCTTGACTTGCTATATTATACTATACTAAAGGTTTGTGCATTGGCTATATTCATTTTTATAGCAAATATTTTATGTTATATTGCAGTTTATAGCCTTATTATTTATATTTAACATTTTTGATATTTTTGTTAGCTTTTGGTCTCTTAGAATTTGAACTTAAGAAAGTTCTTATTCTTGCTTTAAACTTGACTGGATTTAGTTTTATTTTATTTTAATTATAGGTATAATGGTCGCCTATATATGTTATTTCGCATTTTTTTTTTTTTTTTTTTTTTTTAAGGAATTTTCAAAATTAAAAAAAAAAAAAAACAAATATCAATTTTGGTCTTTTCACATTGAAGCTAACATGCAACACTTACGCAGCCTATCACACAGATCATCTCTCATTTCAATTAGGTGTTTATACAAATTTAATTTAATATTTATATTGTTTTATTATTATTTCTTTTCGCTGTAAGTAAACCCCCGCTTAGTCACAACACTCTGAAATGCCAGCAAAGAACTGAAACAAGTTGCAAACTTTTATGAAATATCGAAACACGAAACTAAGAAACTAACAAAATAACAACAAAACATAAATAAGTTGTTGTTGCTGCTGTCAGTCAGTCGGCAAGCATAGTTATTGATAAAACAAATTCAATATTTATGAATGAGCTGCTACTCATTCCCCACTGCCACGCCCACAATCGGCCTGACACACTAAGTGATTCTGAATGGCCCACAAACAGGCAAAAGGACTCACCGCGCGACGTTGGATGATTCATGAGTATTGATAAGGGGCACTCGTCGTCGTCAAGTATGTACTCCGTGCCATCGCTGTTAACCTGAAGGAGATAATAGATAAGAGAGAATACGAGAAGATAAGCACACAAAATTAACATAGCTAAGTTAATCAAGGCTCAGCCCACCCACCTGTACAAGGCAATAGTGCAAGGGATCCGCCTTTTCCAGGCCGTATTTGCTGAGCATCTCCCTGACCACCGCCTGGGCGCAGTCGCGTATCGAGAGCAACAGCGTCTTGTAGGGCACATCCTGGCACAGGCTCTCGCCGTAGATTTTCAGGGTGCCGCCCGTGTCGGGTCCGCCGTCGCGGGAACGAAACTGCTGCAGCTTCTTCTCTAGCTTTTGTTGTCTTCGGCGTCGCATCACCGCCTCCGGATTTGAGATCGAGCGTGTGAACGACGTCTCCGGCAGCTCTGTGTATAGCTTGCCAGCAACGGCATCGCCGGCCTCCCCATTGCCTGCGCCGCCTGCATTGCCGTTCATGTGCGCCGCTGCTGCCCCCGCGCTGCCGACGCCGTTGCCCATGCCGCCCACCTGGCTGCCATTGGAGAGCGGCACATCCGAGCTGAGCTTGGCCAGTTTCTCCTTCTTCTTCTGCTCCTTCTTCTCACGCTTGGAGAGCTTGCGCTTGAAATTCAATTCCGACTGCTCGATGGGCTGCAAAAGGGAAAACAGTTTTCATTAATGAAAAGCAATAGAAAGGACTGATTGCATATGTTCAACTGAGAGCTACATTGTAAATGGACCTATGCCTATTATAAGCAATATACAGTGGGCTGATCGACTTTGTAAATTGAGAGATACCCTAGCGTGAAAAATATTCTAAAAAGTACTTTAATAACTTCTACTCTGATGATCATATGCGTAAACATATTAAATAAATGTAGCTATAAATAGGGTATATTCTTATTATTAAAATCTGCCAAAATCGGTAAAACTGTCAATTTATAAGTTGGACTCATTACATAACGGTTTTCTTATTTCTTAAGCATTTTAAGTAATACACAATAAATTATGCAAATAAACTGTCCCTAGACAAAGATATTGATCGACATTTAATCGGTTTTTTTTTTATCCATAACATTTGGATGGACTGACTGCGGATTGGCCTAAGTAATAGATGCTATGATTTACAATTTCTCAATTTCTGATTTGCTGAATTACAATACACTTGCTTAACCACGACCTAGGCAAAATTCTAATAATATCCAGATATATCTAATGATAATTTCGATCAGATTAGCGATAACTTGACTTAACCGCGAATGTTTTTTCTATAAAGCAGTGGAAAGAGTTGTGGAGTAGCCTCAACTAATAGATTAATATGTATGAAGTACATCTGATCTCTAGTCATCTATCTCCGATGCTAATAATCTATATTTTCCTGTCTTATTTTCCACCACTGTGCATCTTCCTATACCCTATATAAATCAGGCTAGCTTTCATTAGTATTCCAAGCGCCACACACCGTTGTCTTCTGATCGATGTTCTTGAGCAGGAAGCGTCCCTCGCGATCGTCAATATGCCAATTGAGCTGAACGAGCAGCGGCTTCTCATCTGGATTCAGGCGGCGCTCCTCGCCGTTGGCGTGCACCTCGTAGAGGGCGTAATTGGGCACGGATAGCATGCGCATATCCGGACGAAACTTCTCAATTAATGTGTCTGCAATAATTCAGGGAGTTAGTATATTAACAATTCGAGCTGCGCAGCTGAACAACTGACCTATGACATCTGTGACTGTCGCATCGCTGGCAACGCGAATGCATTTGGTGGCCACCTTCTGGCCGGCATCTTGGAAGTAGAAGCGCATAACGCCATGGAAGAGCAGATTCTGAAAAAAGCAAGTAATTAGTCAGATATATACTCATATATATATATCTATAGATTCCAGCATATATGCGATTCCACTCACCTCATCCGGTTCGGAGAGCGCAAAGAGATCCAATCGATTGGCATTCCATTGCTGTATGACTGAACGTACTGCCTCGCGATCCAACATTTTCTTATCATGTGACATGCCGAGAGAGGGCGGGGAGTACAGCGCGAGAGAGAGAGCGCGAGATGGAGAGAGTCGGACAGACAGAGAGAGAGAATGAAAGAGTTGAAGGGAGGTAATGTGGAATTTGTGGAATGTTTATCGTATTTGTGACTCCAGTGTGACGTCGTTTATCTGTTCCAGTGTTCCGTCAGCTAACTGTAAAATAGGAGAACAAACGAAAAATTGGGTTAAAATTAGATTCTGGGTTTACAACTTCCGCGAGGCATCGTAAAATGCAAGTTGCAATCGCAGATGCATTGCACAACAAATGTTGCGTTGCCTCGACACTCAAATCGAAGGGTGCTGCAATGGGTTGTCGACGACTAGATGGATACCCTGGATATTCAAAAAGCTGAGCAATATGTAAGGACAATGTGAGAGAGGTTTTCAAAATTTGAAATCTGCTATTAGCTCTTACTCTCTTCGAGTTATGTTCCGAAACATTCTTATCAATTATACTATGTAATCTCGGAGTTTTTTTCTGATATGCTGTTATAAGCTGTTCAGTAAGATATTTATTTGATGAGTACTTCAGTACACCCTAGCCTAAACTCCACTCACAGCGCATATTATAACAACAGTTAACGACAACAGTCGCTTAAGATTAAATATAGTTATTATACGACTTATTAAGCATACACATATAAACGCACATATATTATATATCGAGATGTGTTACTGAACAACCGTTCAGAGCTCATTCCATGGCACATGCTGTTTACATTCTGTTGCCAATTAAGCTACTCCTCTCTTGACCGCTGACCCTAGACGTAAAACAACTTCATCGGTGCAGAAAATGTTTCGAGTCTATTATAAGAAGTACAAATAACGTCAAGTTCTTTATGGGGCGTGGCCGTAACGTTCAAAGTTCAGATGTTACACAAAAAACAGAGAGAGAGAGAGAGAGAGATAGAGAGAAAGAACGAAGACAAAAAGAGCGGAACTATGCCTGAAACAATTCATAGACACCCCTCGCCCTCAACTGTGGCCCCTGCGTATAACTGCTTTATGTCTTGATATCTGTTGCTGTCGTTGGACTCTTCCTCTTCTATCGCTTCTTCTTGTTGCCGTTCTATATAGTTTAATAACCGTCAACGGTTCCGCTTCGCAGAATTCGTCGTTCGCTGCGCACAAAGAGTTAAGGGGTGGAGGGTAAAGGGTAAAGCTTAACGGAAAAAATAAAATAAATAAATGAAACCACATAGAACCATAAGAAAACTTAGGAGTAAAGCAATTTTTCTGCCAGACAAAGGCGAGGGCGAAGCTGAGGTGAGTGAGGGTGAGGGTGAGGACGACATCGTATTGTCTGTTATTGCAATTGTTCCGAAATTTTTATAGTATTGTTGCCGAGCAACTGACTTGCAGTAACCTTTCCCTGTTCCCCCTATCCCTGTTCCTGTTGCTGACCGAGCAGGGCAAAGGAACTGCATTCGTGCGTAACCAGCAATGGTTTTAATACCCTGTAATTGATCAAATAAAAGAGTACTGTCCTGCAGAGGTATTAGAGGCAATAGAGGTTAAAAGAAATAGTATATGATGGCATATAAGTATTATTATAGATGGGTTCTATAAATTTACACACTGATCCAAGAAAAGTAATAAAAATGAAAAACAAAAATTTTATAATAGAATAATCAGAAAGATCGATTAAAATAATAATTTAAATTTTGAGTTTACTTTATATCTATATTTAAATTTTTATATCAATCGATCTTTATGATTATTCTAAGATTATTTTATTCTAAGATTGCCTTCAAGTTCCCACATTTAACTAAACAATGATGAGTACATCTAAAGCTATTTAAAATCAAATAGAGGCTATGTTTAAGTCAAGATCGCCCAACCACAGTTCAGTTATTTGATAGAAAAAGAAACTATCAAGCTTCTTAAAGGCATTTCAAATGGATTTACCAGTAAATCTACATTTTCTACAGGGTATATTCGAGTCGAGCATGCATTCATGCTCTTTTAGTGTTTTGGCACTTTGTTTAGTTTTTCGACAACATTTTAATGCTTGTTGTTGGCTAGTCTCACAGTCGGTTGCCGAGTTGTTTCTAGGGGTTGCTTAGGGGTTGCAATTTGCATCAAAATTTATGCACTTTATTTAGAAATATTTCTTGATTTCTATCAGTTTTTAATAGGAATTCCAATGCTGTTTTATAGTTAGGGACAATTATCTTCAAAATGATGGAGCAATTGTCAAAAAAAAGCCAAAACTTCACTTGCTTTCTTTTCCTTTTATTTTTAATTTTTTGTAATTATTTAGACAGTTTTACAACATTATTAAAAAGACATAAAAGTGTCATTTAACATGGAGCAGAGTCAACTAAAGAAACAACAAGTTGTTTGTTGTTGTTGTTGCTTGTGCACTGAGCCTAAAGATTGCGAGAATTGATAAAAATGGAAGTAAGTCGGGAAACCGCAATGGCAACAATAAAAACAACACGTCAAAAGAGCGGAAAGAAGCTAAAGAAAAACTGTCGCCAGATAAATGGACAGACAAACAGATAAATATATATATACTACCTATTTAAACATATACAAAATAAAAAGTACCGCAAGACAAGAAACAAAGCCTCGTTGAATGAGAGGTGAATGTACCCAGGTTCTCTTTCCATTTGGGTGCGACAAAAGCTCTGCCAAAAGCTGTCCAAGGCAAGAGTAAAAACAAGCTGAGCAATAACAATATATACATATGTAAGCATATATCATATTTAGCAAATAGTACATATACTTGAACTAGGCTAACTAAGAGGGGCACAGTTGGTACTGCTGTCTGATCTGGTTCCTCAATCGAGCAACTAATTGAGTTAGTTACCTTTGAGTGGCGCCTAATTAAAAGTCAATAAGAAACAGCACAGGTAAGTCAAGTACATCAACAATTACGGCTCGCATCTGCCTTCGCCCGATGACAGAGCGTAAGAGTTAAATAGACTCTGGGCCAAGTACCGCAAAATGTGATTGGGTGACAACAACAACAACAACAACAACAATGACGAAATTTTGTTTAGCCATGACACAAACCTTTCCGCTCTTCCCTTTCTCTATCGCTTTGATGTGTTTTTCTTTGGCTTCTTCTTTAACTGTGCGGCCGAGGCTTAAAAACTAGCCTGTGATACTTTTGCACTTAGCCGACCAACAAGAGTCAGCAGAAAATCGAAAAGGTATGCAAGTGATCGACGAGCAAATACTCTTCATATGAATAAAGCTTTATGGAAACATAGAGAGACAAAAAGCAGAAAAATTCAAATGCCAAAAGGGAAGCAGACACGCAGAGAGATAAATCAAATCATTGAAAGGCAATAAAAATAATTATCAAATAATTCAAAACGCAAAGAAAATAAATGAAAGAAATAGTGCAATATAGAAATAAACTAAAATGAAAGGTACAGAAAATAATTGAAGGAGCTCTCCCATTTACTATTAGCTATTTAACCATTATCACAATTGAAGTTAGCCTTAGCTTCTCCTCAGGCGAAGCTCTGCTTATGAAAATCGCAGAGGAAGTATTATCGTAACATATTCATTATCTTATTTCATTGGGGCGAGTTCACAAACCAACTGTCATAGCTAATAATACCCTGAAGTGCAGTTTTGCTTTATAATCCAATTTAAACGGCGTCATTTGCCGGTTAACGTTTGAAAAAATTGCTGGCGACATTTTTTTTTTTCTTTATGAAAAGTGTATATAGCTATATGTTTATATGTACTCCTATACATATGTACATATATATATTTATGTCTTTCTGTATATATCTTTGAAAGTATCTTGTTATTTGCTATTTAGCCGGGTGTAACTGTTGTTGGCGTTTTATTGTTGTCTTAGCGCTGCTTTTGTTGTTTCACTGGCCAAAATAAATATAAACACAAGCCTTTTCTTTTCCATTTTTTCTCTTTTTATACTCGTATGTGAGAAACAGAAAACTTATAATAAAAAAACCAGCCGGCAAATGCGAACTGGCATCAAATGGCATACCAAAGTGGTTGTTGACTCTTTTTTTTTTTTTTTTTTTTGCATACCCTGTAGTCGCTGAAAGTGGGTTAAACACACTGTAAATGTCGACATGTAGAACGCTGTTAAGAACATTTTTTGCGTGATTGGAATGTTGAAATGCATACCTTAACATACTTTGCTAAAATTTGTTAAAATTATTGATATGTATATATCATATATATATATATATATATATATCATATCAATAATTTTTTTTAATTTATCTAGATATATCAATATATTTTAAAGGCATATTTTATTCTTAATACAACTATAAATATATGTATGTAACTCAAAATAATATTCAGATAAGAAAGTGAACATAAAATAAAATTACAAGTTATTTATAACAGTTATTTAATCTGCATTTTAGTCTAATTCCACGTTAGATTTATTTATTTATTTATTTTCTTAAAGCTATTGACAAAAATGAGAGTCAATTTTAATTTAAAAAAGCCTATACAAAGTACACGATATAATTTCAATAGTAACACCAACCCGATGGGGGTATTTTATTTGCCAGTCCGGCCGGCTATGCCCACGTCTCACAGCCAAATATGGTCAGTGATACTATTGAAGCTATGAAAAGAAAGTGTTAGTAAGAAAACTTAAAAAAATAAAATATTAAAATGTAGGTTATTAAACAATATTTAGCATACTTAAAATAATTCTTAAAATAATAATAAAAAATAAAAAAATAATAATAATAATAAAAAAAAATAAAATAAAATAAATAAATAAATAAAAGGAGTTAAAAAAAAACAATAATAAAAAAAGAAAAAAAGAATAAAATAAGAAGAGGTAAAGTATAGAAAAAGAAAAAAGGCCGGTAATAAGAGAAGTTGCAAGAAAAGTTAATAAAAAGAATAAGAAATAATAAAAAGAAAAGAGTAATGGAAGAGCCAAAAATAGAGTATAAGAATAGAATTGAGAAATCACTAACACAACATTAGCAGCAAAAGCGTATGCCAATGCTTATGCCTGGGCATTGTGAGTGATTTCCCTAAGATAAGCTGATAGTACACTTTTTATTTTAGGAGGAGAGAGCTCTAAGGAAAAAACGTGATAATATTTATTAAAATTAACACAAAGAACATGAAACGCACTGTGCAAAGAATAATCCCTAGTGCACACAGGTAAATGAAGCGGACGATAGTGTCTA